TTCTATTTTAATCTAGTTCAAACAAGTTTTCAAATAACACGAATTAGTTTTACCATTTTATACTTTTTCGTTCCGTTACGTACAGATCATACCAGGTTGCTTAAAAGTTAAGCAACTGAAGAGATGATTAGTATATAACATTTTCGTACACTATCCTCTTTAGGCCAAATTTTATTGGCTCTGGAATTGAAAACCTTAATTATCAGCTTCCAACTACTTTAAACATGAGCATCACTTTGTTGAAAATCGTTTTTTTTTATTCAGAACTATTTGGACCCAGGAAAGACCAAAGCATTCGCGACAGAATCCAAATTTCCGATGACGGTGAAGTGACGATTAATGATGAAGAGCGAGTCAATGGTGATTGTTTATATCCTTCGTGTTAAACTTCTTTTGCCTTTCAGTTCTTGATCTTTGATGCTTTATTCATTCAACAAGGGTTTATGATTTGAAAGCCTTATGGCGTTTTTCAAAGTTCATTGGTTCACACAAATTGTTGCAGAGAATGCTCATGTGCTAGTGATTGGCACTACCAGTCGGCCAGATGCTGTAGATGGTGGTCTAAGGCGTGCTGGGCGTTTTGATACCGAGATATCTTTGGGTATTCCTGACGAACAGGCTAGGCAAAAGATTTTGCAGACCGTTTGCAAGTGAGATGTAACTTTGAAACGTTTGTTTTCTTTTCTTTTTTTCCAATTCTGAATCTTATTGTGTCATACTTTTTTTGACTTGTATAAGTTCTCTTTCATGGAGCTTTTTAGATTACCTCTGGATGAAAATGTCAACCTAAAGATGGTCGCGAGGTTAACTCCTGGTTATGTAGGCGCAGATCTCATTGCTTTGGTCAGAGAAGCTGCCAAATGTGCCGTGAATAGGTTGGGTTTCTGTTCTTCTGCCAAAATTTCTATTTGATTTCAAAAACAGATATTGAATTACATATTTTTTTAAATGAATTGATTCATTGATCTTGATTTCTAAGGAAGTTATGTTACATCAGTCTTATAGTAGCAATCTTGCCTTTAGGATATTTGACACTATAGTGAGCCGTAGCTCGTCAAAGCGACAAATGACAAACGAAGAAGTGAAGGAAGAGTTGGAAAAAGGTGAGCGATTTTCTTTTTTTCACTCAACATTCTTGTCTTTTCGTAATATTGTTTCCTTCAGTTTAATGGGTGGAAATATACCTAATTTAGTGCTCGCTTGGCTGCATTCTGAAGATGATCCAGGAGCACTGGAAAAACTAGGTGGATTTCGTGTGACAATGTCTGATTTTGAACGAGCACTCGAAAATGTCCAGCCATCTGCGAAGCGTGAAGGCTTTGCTACTGTACCGGATGTCTCATGGGAGGACATTGGTGCCTTGAGCGAGATAAGGCAGGAATTAGAATGGCATATACTAGTAAGTTATTCGGTAATATTTGGAAGTTCTTTCGTTAGTGTTTTGTATATATGGGACAAATTCAAATCAAATTTTCATTGTAGATGTATAGTAAATTCTAATATGTTTTCAAGTCGTTCTTTTCATATTCTATGCTTTAGATTTTCTAAAAATTGCTATCATGAAGATCTCCAGTCTTTCAATGGCTCTTCATTAGTGTCCTTGACATTTTGCAGTCTGCGTTAAACGCGCTGTACGCTCTATTTTTATGACACATAGCTACGAAATAGATGGGTGAGACAAATATGGAAGGGATAAATTTTCGTTGGGATATTTTTAGGTAAGATGTTAGCTCAGCATATGAAGAATATCGTAGTCGAAACAGAAACAGTTTGTCTTGCTACGAAATGAACAATCCTAATCATTCGTATGCAGCCTAGGTGGTATCTTGAAGTACATGCTCTAGTTTGGTACTCCTAGATTGAATATATCAGCATTTGCGCTGGATTTTGCGGTTTCTTGTTGTTTAAATGTGTTATCTTCTTTCTCTGAGCCTCGTAAGGCAGTCATTACCATTTCTTGGCTGTTTGTAAAATTTGTGAGCAGAAATTCTGTCATTTCTCTAATAATTCTTTAAAATTTCCAAGAGTTCATCTGAGACAAAGAGCAAACAGTGATTTTATTTGTTATGGTTCTTTCCACACTGCCTATTCTTGTGTGTTGTTTTTCCGCTTTTCCCTGCTGTACAAAGTAATCAGCAATCTAAGTTTGATAAGATACTGTAAAATTAATAAGAGGAAAAAAGCTTCAAAATCGACGTTTAGTTGAGTGAGACACTTTTTGCAAAGAGAATATATAGTGGAGTTTAGAAGAATGTAAGGCTTTTGAGAAGGGGAGTGAGCTTATGATCTAGAAAGAAAATTTTTCAAATCAACTAGATTGTGCAGCAGCAGCGTTTGTTGCTTTTGTTGGTACTCATTTGCAAGGCATCATGTTTTCTTCCGAGAATGCTTTACCATATTTTTTTTCAATTTTTCTACTGGTCAAATGTTGTCTTTACCTACGCGTTCGAAAAAAGATTGGTATTCAAAGTCGCAAATTGCCATTAAGCTAAGAGCTTACTTCCTTATTACTTCGATATTTATATATTGATATGTGAGAAATTGCAATCTTATGCGGTCTTA